CCGTCGGCCACCGCGAGTGCCTGGAGGACTGCGGGTTCAACGTGACAGCCAAGTCCTTCTTCGTCATTCACGGCTGGACGGTGAGTGCGCGGCGTCCCGCGGGGCTCCGGGCGACGTTTCCACCTGCGCGCTTCGGGAGAGCCGGCGGCTCCGGCGTGGGGGGGATTTGGGGCAAACTCGTGTGTTTCCAGCCTTATTGCCTCCTCGTAGCCGCACCCGAGGTCTCCGGAGCGAAGCGACGTGGGTCGTACTTAAGGACTGCGTGACATCCAGCTCGCTCAGGATCGCTTCTTACCTGCACGATGTGAATGATACCGGGGGAGCGTGAAGATTTCCCCTAAAATCCAACTAAGTGACCGCTGTGACGGCGGCGCCCGGCTTGACACACGCTTTCTGTAATTTCAGCCGTCTGCCCAGAATCTTCATTTCTGCTGCGTGGTCTCCTCGATAAAGGGACAGAGGGCAGACAGACTTTATCAAGCTTTCTTCTGCATTTGATGTGGCTAAGTGCGTGGCACCGGGGGGAACTTATCAGCTCTACCAAGGCTTATGCAAACAGTGGTGCCAAGACTGGAAAATAATTCTGCAGTCCATCAGAATTTCTGAAAACCTTGAGGGAAAAAAAGCGATAAGGTGGCACATAACGAACGCCTCTCCCTTCTGCCTTAAAAGGCAAGGTGGTTAATTACAGCCAGAGTCTCTCAAAACCTGTTTTTCTTATACCATTAGTGCAGCACTGAAAAGCAGTGGGGTTTATAGAGGAGCAGCTTGCAGCTGGAGCAGCATATGTAAATGGTATGCAAATAACTCTGAATGTGTAACGTGGGTCCCATGAGCTGGAAACTAACACCTGAATCTCTTTTTAGATGAGCGGCATGTTCGAAACCTGGCTGAACAGCTTGGTGTCCGCTCTTCAGGAGCGGGAGAAGGATGCTAACGTGGTCGTGGTGGATTGGCTCCCGCTTGCCCACCAGCTCTACACCGATGCCGTGAACAACACGCAGATTGTTGGGAAAAGCATAGCGAGGCTGCTGGACTGGTTGCAGGTAACGCTGAATTAAGAACTGGTGGCTGTTGTAACGCTCCACAAGAGACTGTTGCACAAGAGAACGGAGCATTCACCAGCTCTGGCGTTCCCGAGAGGGGAAGGCTCTGGTGTAATCCCAACCCCAAGGCTCGGAGAGGCGGTGGCTCATCGCTCAGGTGCTGCTCTCAGCCCTTGTGCGAGCAGGTGCTACTGTGCCTTCCCGAGAGATGCCGCTTTGTTGAAGTGGGCTTCAAATTTAGGAGTCCTGGCTGAGCACAATGGGAACTCGGGAGAGGGGTGTTTGAAGTCAGCGTTGGGTTGGCAAAGAGGGTGTTACACCTGGCACCTGAGTTCACAGCCAGTCTGCTGGCAGCTCCCTTGGGGAAGGCTGCTCCAGATGCTGCTCCAACAAAAAATACTGTAATTGAGGTTGCACACTGCGTACTGTGGCTGAGTGGAAACCGCAAGTCCTATCCAAACCATTCAACTTGTCTTGATGAAATAAAGAACGAAGCACACTTCTCTGCTCCTTCCCTCCCATCTCTTAGAACTGGGCTTTAAAGATCCACAGACTGGACCAATGCTGGATGCCCTGAAAGACAGGGGCCAAATTGTCATACCTTTTTTTTTCAC